AATTTGATAAAATATTGATACGAAATAGTACGCGGATTGTGCGCTCAGTTACCTCTTTCAAATCATACGCTGTTTACGAATTTCCATTTGCTAGATTTCCCCAGAGCTCCGCCCACTTTAAAAATAGTGCTAGCACTGTGATTGTGGCAGTGGTATCCTGAGTGTATGAAGGGGCACTGCATGCAGTTTGCTCCGCAGCAAGGCGCTAAATATAACAAGGAGAGGAAGCGGATTGGCTGTGTGTTTTTCGCCTCAAGGGCACCATCTATGGACCATAATCAGCTGAAACGGCTGTGCAGACTATATAATATAGATATTTATATTTTTTCTATGGTGCAGACCGAACCCAGAGACAATAGAACACTAATCTGTTCTGGGGTCTCTGCCGAACCCAAATTTGGGCCAGATATGGTGGCGCTTCCTCTCCTGCTTTTCGCCTCAAGGGCGCCATCTATGGACCATAATCAGCTAAAACGGCTGTGCAGACCGCGTGGTTTTTTTCCCTAGGATAATCAAGAACTAAAGGATAATCGGGCTCTAGTGAACGCTGCCATTGGTTGACACAAATCACGTACCTCAAACTCTTGTTTTATGGTGCATTGTGACCCTAACCTTATTTAAAAAAATATATAAAAAAGTAAATTTTTAATTGTTGTAGAAGTTCATTGTTGTTATTAAATTGTTGTAAATAAATAATGTAAATATTTTCGTTAATTGGAAAAAAATTGTTAAATGGATAAAGATAGAAAAATACAGAAAACAGGAAAATAATTAAAAAACGGATGGGATTCGATCCAACGTTGATGGATTCGATTCAACCGTGACGTCCGTGCTGTACTCGTTCGGCTATTCAGGGTTATTGGAATTATGGATTATGGATGTGCTATGAATATTACGACACTGTGACGTCATTGAGCAACGAAAAAAGCTCAACCAATGGCAGCGCTCACTAAAGCCTTATGTTCTTGATTATCCTAGGAAAAAAAATCACGCAGCGCGCAGACCGAACCCAGAGACAATAGAACACTAATCTGTTCTAGCGTCTCTGCCGAACCCAAATTTGGGCCAGATATGGTGGTGCTTTCTCTCCTTGTTATATTTAGCTCCTTGGTCCGCAGATCATAGATGTAGATCGAGTGTGCAGACCATAGAAATAATATAGATAACCTATATATTATTTAATATGCCATATAATAATATATAGGTTATCTATATTATTTCTATGGTGCAGACTGAGGTGCTATTCACTAGTAGATGGCGTCCGTCGACAGCAGGCCTAAAAGAGACTAACAGACTAAAGGCCCGCTTAGGGCGGCCTTACGACCTAGTCGCCGACAAGATTTGAATATCGTACGTCAAAAACCGGCCAGATCGCCAATAAAAACATTGGCGACCAAACTCGACATGAGTTCTCTTACGATCGAAAATATGGTTGCCGACTGCAATTGCAGGAATGGAACATGTTCTATTTCTATGCGGCGGTTGGTGACAAATCGTGAGTGGCAGCCAATCACCGCAACGTGTCGAGTCACATGATTATCAAGTCACGTGATTAACAAAATGGCAGCCTACACAGCACTCGTCAGCAGTTTACAAGGAGGGATTATTGCACAAACCCTTTCTCAAATATATATTAAGTTTTTTTCGTATATCACTTTTTTTTCTGCACATGATTATAACGATTTTCAGAAAATTAAAGATAGATTTACGAAGTTATCTGATGTTTACTGGTAAGCGCCATTTTGTTGGTCACGTACGTGACTCGTTTTGTAGTGGCCCTAGGGGTGGCCACACTGGACTTTCCCATGTGCTGTGGTTAGCACGTTGAATTTATTTGTTTCGGGATCATTTTTCGCTCCTACCGCGAAGGTAGGACGGTGATGCAGTAGCAGGAAAATCCAGAGTGAAATGAACGCAAGTTCTTAGATAGTCTTTATACAACTGATGGTTTTATTCATCATATACAAATAACATAAATAAAGTTCACTGCACGTATCTCAAATATAGCGTATAGATATATATAATATATATTGCTCGTGCCACGTTTACGTTACCTGGTTGGGTAATTACACGTTTAACTTCTCTTAGCTATTCTACGGGTTAATGTTGTAGCCGTCTCTGCCTCTCCCAGTCGTGTGCTCCGCGACTCGGCGCGAGTACTTGGGGTTGGCAGTGTGTCTCCCTGTCGTGTGTAAGCTATAGCTCCCTTATTATAAGGTATATACCTTCTCGGGCGTTGTCCGGCTCGCAGGGCTCTCCCTCCGACGGTGTGTGTGCGCTCTCTCTCCCTCAGTCGCTCGTTCGTTCGTTCGTTCGTGCGTTCGTTCGTTCGTTCGTTCGTGTCCGTTCGTTCGTTCGTTCGTGTCCGTTCGTTCGTTCGTTCGTGTCCGTTCCTTCGTTCGTTCGTGGCTGTCCGAAGACTGACTGACTTTACTATTGGATTATGGCTGCTTATATAGGAGCCTGCGATGACGTAGGAATCTGGCAGTGCCTCCCTGTCCCGTGCACCAGGTGCCTCGCCGTTGTCCTCTCTTCGCTTAACACGTGTACAGGTGATGCAACCCCCCTGGTCCAGTATATGTCTGAGCGTCACACCCCCCTGTCTGCCACGTGCTCGGCCGGCGCCGCTCTTACGCCCGGCGCGTGTACCTGATGGCGCAACTCCCTGATCTCCCACATCTGGTAGCCATGGGACCCCTTTCCCCCTCGCTTGTTTGTGTCGCTGGGGAAAAACTTTCTACCTCTGTTGCGTGGCTGGTCTCTAGTTGTATGACGTCATCCCTCCTGAAATCTCTACTTCTACTTCCTCCCAACTTCTCTTGGTATCCGCCCTCGGATACCCCTGATCTTCCTCCCTTTATGTCATGTCATATTCTATGGTCTTTATCTTATCTCATTATTGTTACGAGTTGAAGATATGGTTAGTAAGTGGACGCAAGTAGACACTGTACATAGAAATGTTTTACCACGTACGTGAAAGTTTTAATAACCATCTAATATCTCATCGTTGTTACCCGTACAATCGTCTATCGCAATATTCATGAAACTACATATATTTTGCTTAATCATTGACTCATCTCTATATTAACAATATAATATTCAAAATATGTATATGCGAAAAAAAAAAAATATCGCCTTGGTTCTAAACAGTTCCCTGATTACTATATAGATACTGGATATAAGTACTATATATATACGGGACTCTCCTCTCTCTCGCTATATATTTATGCACATAGGCCTATCTATTTCTACCCCTCCCGGCCAGCTATTCCGCTCCCCATGCCATCGTTCTCACTATTCGATGGGCTGAGGAGTAAATCCTCGCGTAACTGTTTTACCTTTTCTCCTTCCTCTAGCTCTTCCACCCTCCGGCTTAGTCGCCCTATCTCTTCGTTTGCCTCCTCCAAGCTTCTGCTTAACTGTTGTTCCCTCTCTTCATCAGCCTCTCCTTCTTCTCTCACTCTCCCCCTCTTGCATCGTTCCTCCTGGCCCAGTTGCCGCTGATAGTTCTCCTCCTCCTCAATCGCTCGCAAATTTGTCCTCAGCTTCCTCCTTCTCTCCGCTAGCCGTTNAACAACCTGGATCTCCAGGATGTCCATCTGAAAAAGCAGAAAACGTTCTTGCCTGTATTCTGCTGCTGGCGACCATACCTTACCTTACTAGCCGCTGATAGGCCCGTCTATGTCCCCAGGGCTACTGGCGCGACGAAACGTACCCTGCGGTAGCGGTCCGCCGTATAACGCGGAACGTCCCTGGTAACTTTCTAGCTGATATGCCGGTAGCGGTTAGAGTTAGCGTTAGGCGTTCGGTTCTGTTCACTAAGTTAGGTATAGGAGTAGCGTACGGCGCACTCCCTAGACTGGTTTCAGTGAGTAGTCGAAGTGACGATCCGCATATTAGATAGTAGTGGCTTTAGCTACCGAGGGTGCCCAGGGTACGTTCCGGTATAGCGGACCGTACCCAGGGTACGTGCCGGCAGTACCCTGGGGGACATAGACCCTATCAGCCTTACTGGGGCCCACCCCTTATAAGTCTAGCCGTTAAGGCGGCTTCCTGACTCTTCCTCTTCTCCTCACTGGAGGGCTCGCCGTCGTTGGTATTTCCTCGTCCTCTCCCCCGTCGGCTTCCTCATCATCATTCATAAATTTTAGAAATAACTTCTGTGATGACCGGTGCAATTTATGTAATAACAATATGAAAGAGAACTTGGAACATTTATATAAATGTGAGTTTTATAACAGATATAAGGACAGTAAACAAAGTGAAGACTGGGGAGGGGACTACACTGGGTTACTCAAACCAGCAGTAGAACATGTACGAAAGATATTGTCAATTCGAAGTATTAACATCTAAAGAACTGGAGGTATAGACATAATTTCCTGTTTCTTTAGATAATCCCCGCACCTGCATTAGAGTGGCCTGTGAAAGACAAGAGAGGGACCTAAGATACAAAATACAAGATACAAGGCCTGAATAAGCATCGTGAAACAATTAATTAGTTAAATATACAAATAAAGTTTTATTGCAAAATCAACATACACTTTATACATTTGCCACAAACTTTACTCGAAACTTTTTCCAGCGACATGATCAATGTTGCTGCATTCCCTCTACCATAGATATCTATAATACAGTAACCTCTCTTACTATGCCCTATACTCAGACTACTGTACTATACAGACTATACACGAACACGCACGCGTGCCCAGGAGCTGGTGATCTGACATTTTTTTACAAGGCAAAGCGTCCTCTATGGAAAATGCAATGTGCTACGGTCAACCGGTTTGTCTATAAAAATACAATAATTCGTACGTGTGCGCTGGGGAATAAAGTCGAGCACTGTGCAGTGCTGCCACGCAGCGAACAACGTATCTTTACATGCGTTTATAATACCAGCGCGTTTATGGGAGAGAGCAGATGGACCGCGAGAGCGCAGACTTCGCGCAGAGCCAGGAACTCCGCGCAATTATTGTGCGTGCGTGCGGTGACAACACAGAAACATGAATCGTCTCAACATTGCGTGTAAAGTGGCTTTAGGCTCGACTCTCGCCTTCGTCGTCGTCGATTTGATATTCGCGACACTATTCACCGACAGCGTACTTCTGTGGACGCCTGCCGACACACAGCTGACGACGCCGCCGTCGCTCGTCATGACGGCACACGGCTGCGTCAACAAGGTGTGCGCCGAGTTACCGACGACGTTAGGTGAGCCGACTATGATCAGATCATGATCGATTTTATATATCTTTCTATATTCTATATTCCTATTCGATATACCCTGAATAAATTGTACATCTGTCGATACACACACGCGCACGCGCGCTGTGTGTGTGTGCGTGCGTGTGTGCGTGCGTGCGTGTGTGTTTGTGTGTGTGTATGCGTGCGTGCGTGCGTGCGTGCG